TGAGGCTCAACAACAACAACAACAACAACAACAACAGCAACAGCAGCAACAACAATAAAAAACAACAACAACAACAGCAACAACAACAACAACAACAACAACAACAACAAAAATAACAACAATAACAACAACAGCAACAACATTGTTACAACTTACCCACACTCCCAATATGCTCTTCTGGATTCGCCAGACTCTTGATGACGTCATATTGCCCCCGATAGTTTTTTGGTTGTAAGCTTTAAAATTGTCTAGATCTATACCGCAGGGGTGTGCCTGTCTGTGCGGGTGTGTCTGCGAGAATGTCTCTGTCTCTGCCTCTGCCTCTTTCTCTTTCTATGTCTCTGCCTCTGTCTCTGTCTCTGTTTCTGCCTCTTTCTCTTTCTATGTCTCTGCCTCTGCCTCTGTCTCTGTCTCTGTCTCTGTCTCGGTTTCTGCCTCTATCCCTGCCTCTATTTCTGTCTCTGTGTTTTTCTCTGCCTCAGTTTCTATCTCCGTCTCTTTCTGTGTCTCTGTCTCCGTCTCTGCCAGTGTTTTTTCAATGAAGCATCGTCCTGACCTTTTTGAATTAAAACGATCGTTTTTCAACAAATGTTGTTGTTGGTTGGTATCGTTATTTAGTTTTGTTTTTGTTTTTTGTTTTTTGTTGTTGTTGTTTTTTGGGGGTGGCTTTTTGTTGTTTGTTGTTGTTGTTATTATTTTGTTGGGGGGGTTTTTTTCCAATATCAGATATCTTAATCCTGCTTTCATTTTTTCCAGACCCAACCTGTATAAGATTTTCACGTGTTTTTTTTTTAAAACCGGGATGCGTGCAATCTCCCCTCCTGTTTATAATATATATGGACACAATATCGTAAGAGGCAAACCAGAGCCCAGATAGCCTAAATGAACTTCTATTCGCAGACGACCAATGTCTTATTCACCTAAACCAACAAAACCTCCAAAATCAAACCACTGAACTGAACAACAGCTACAAAAAATGTAACATGAAAATAAGCACATCAAAATCAGAAGTTATGAAAGTGAGCCGAAACTGTAGTTCCCTGAACATCCATGTCAATAGTAAACAATTGGAACAGGTGAAGGAGTTTAAATATCTTGGCAGTACTTTTTTCTGAAAACGGGTCCTTAGACAGAGAAATAGAAATAGAACTCAAAAAGCCAACGCTGTCACCTACCAACTCGCACCCGTCCTATCTTACCCAAGCATCTCCATGGACACAAAGAGACAGCTTATCACCCCAATATCCATATCAACATTATGCTACCAGTGCCATACCTGGCCATTAAGTAAAACCCATGAAAGCAAAATCACCGCATGCGAAATGAAATGTCTCCGCAAAACCCTTAACATCACAAGACGAGACTGGCAGAGAAATGAAGAAGTAAGAGCAGCTATCGGCATTGAGTCCTGCCTTCATTACATAGAAAGACAGAGAATAAAATGGTTTGACCACCTGTTACGTATGTCACCTGGCCAGCCAGCCTTGAGAGCCTACAACATCAAGCACTCAGGCTATAAAGGAAGAGGAAGGCCACGCTAAAGGTGGATCGAGGGTGTCAAGGAAACCCTAAGAAAACATAACATCACAACTGAAAGAGCTGCGGAGCTGGACTACCCTAGAAAACTGCATCTCCCCTCGACGCTTAACGGCAAGAGAGGATGTAAACGTAAAAGTAAAATAAGTAGTAAGTATAGAATTGTTGGTAACATCTTAAAGCTTATTCCCTTATCTTGCTTTCGAAAAAAAAAATGTACGTTATTCTTGTTTTATAGTCGAGACATATGCAATTGAAGGACATGGTGTTTGCCTGGTGGCAGTGGTAAAATTAGCGAAAGACTAGTGAGAAAATAGCCGCGAAATTTGGCGAATACCAAAGCTTGAATGTCCTTGGAAACTGCAAATGTATAAAAAAAAATTTACTTTTGATCAACGTAGATTTTAGTTGTGGGTTTTGTTTTAATCATGCAGAAATGTGATTTCCAATGGACTTAAAGGGTGATGAGATAAAAAATATTAGAAAAAATCCACAACGGGTGAGAAAATGTTGGTGTCTTTGGTGTTATTGTTTTGACGAGCAACTGGTTCCAGCGCGACGCGACATCAGTCAGTTTGATTACTTCCCGGCATGCACGTTGATCAAAGACGCTGTCCCAGAATGCCTCAGTGGCCACAGGGAGGTGTTCCGAGGGAGGGGGGGGGGTCTGTGGCAGGCAGGTTAGCGCGAGAAGGACCCTCGTTGCCTACAACTCCAAGATTTGCTCGTCTCGAGGAGAACGACGATTGGCCAATATGAACGCAGTATCTATTCTGCGACGTCTCCGACCAATAAAATGCTTTGGGCCTCAAGACCAAGTAAAAAAATCGGAGGGGGGGGTACAGAAGCTTAATTTCATATTTTACAGTTTAGCTTGAAATTTTTTTGAAAATAATTGATTCGCGATTTGTGGCTATATGTGTGATCTGCAGCAAATAATACACAGTTTGACCCC